AACAGCATCCGCAGGGAGGCAGCATATGAGGCACCAGTTTTCTGGAGAGCTCTCTCTCTCTGCACATGTGCATGTGCATGTGCATGCACATTGCATGTTTGCGATTTGGATTTTGGATTTGTTTATTTTCTCATGGTCGCACATCCTAACAAAACAACAAACGTGAACCGTGCCATTCGCTCTCACCGGCAACCCTGTCTGCACGTCTCGCGCGCGCGTGAACAGGGCTCCAGGCCCCAAATTACGTGTGAGTGTTAGAGTTGTTTGGTATCCTACCTTATATTTCCCCGTGTCCGGTTTTCCGTTTCAGCGGAGTCTGGCCGCCACCCAGCACGCATCTCTATGGTGCCCCTCGGCAAGGAGCGCGCTCCGGCGCCGTCCACGACGTCGTCCGCGCAGCACTCGCGTAGGCGCGCCGGCGTCATCCGGCAGGCGCAGCCGGAGGCGCCTGGGCATCAGCTCGCCGCCTCGCACGCTGCTTCAGAGAAGCGCAAGGCCAACAAGATGACGCCGATGGAGCGCAGGGCGAAGCGCGCGGCCGACGAAAAGCGGCGCTGGCACGAGAAGCGCAAGCCAAGGCGACGCGCGAGTCCGCCGCCAAGTTCAGCATGGCGAGCGAGGAACGCATCCGGGTACGGTTGCTCACGTGCTGCGCAGTGGCTGCTATACCACCGGCTCCCTGACCCTCAGCTAAGCCTAGTGGCGATCACGCCGACAACAGGCTGGCGTAACCACCCAAGACAGCTTGGAGAGCTCCCGGTAAGGCTACATTTCGTAACGATCGTCGCTATTGGCCATCTGCCTCCTGCAGCCTCTGTTGGGGCGGAATGCGCGGGGTTTTCGGCGCGATGCCTCCGGCTAGTACACGGTACTGCTCTGCCGCAAACTCTCCTGCGCTCGCGTGACGTGTGGGGCGCATGCACTGCGCTCGAAAGTCGTGATTTGGCAATAGGCGCTCGAGCCGGCGCGCAGTGGAGGGGGCGCCGCGCAGGGGGATCGGGGGGGTGCGAGAGGGGGCATGGGTCGGGCGCGCACCGGCCGGCTCCGGGAGCGGCCGTCACGTCGAAGAGGGGACCTGGTGCTGCTCGAATGACGACGCATGCCGCTCTGCTGCGCCGCCGATAGCCCCTCTTCCGAGCCGGCGCGTGGCGGCGAGCCGCGGCCAGTATCGCTGGTGCGGTGGAGGCGGCAGCTTGCATCGGCCGGCAGCGGGTGCGGCCATCACGTCGATGAGGGGGGGTTGTCGGCGACTCGTGTGGCTCGAGGCCTACGCTGCGCCGCCCAAGCCCTACTGCCGATCCAGCGCCTGGCGTTTGGGGCGAGCCGCGGTCGTCGCTGATGGTATATGGCGGCGGCGGCGGCGGCTCGCCCTTCCCTCCGGCCGCAATTCCGATCCCGCCGCGCTCGCGGGAGGTGGCGCATACAACTTACGCCCTTTCTCCTCAACGGCTATCCGTGCTTGCTGTGCCCCTGCGTGGTGTGTTTCAAGTTCTTACAACCCAAGGTGATAGAGGGCAAAAAGATCGATTGCGCTCTTGCCGATCCGCACCTACCTAGGCTCTTGGGTGGCGCGCCCCAGGCTCTTCACAACGAACCTGGTCCGACATTGAGGGGGAAGGCTCGGTGGCCGCCTCGCAGCAACGAACGCGTCTCGTCCGTGTGAGCCGGAACCCTGTGTGGTCGGCTGCTTGACACACATACACATGGGACTGCTCTTTCTCAGCCTCTGCACCCTCGCGGCGACGCGCTGGCACGAGCTTGACGGCTACTCCTTTGAGCGGTACCGCCAGGAGTTTGGAAAGATGTACGCGACGGCTGAAGAGGCGGCAGCGCGTGAGGCCGCCTTCAACAAGAAGCTCAAGGAGGTTCGCTCGCACAACGCTGCCGGCCATTCGTGGTGCGAGTCCACGGCTCGACTCACGACCAGAGCACGTCACTCACTGCCCAGCTCTAGTCGACAACCTGAGCGGCACGTTCGTTCGCGCCCCACGGTGGACAGGAAGCGCGGCGTCAACCACCTCACCGACCGCACGCCTGAGGAGCTCTCCGTGCTGCACGGCCTCGACCGCGCTCTCCTCTTTTCGCAGAAGCACGCTCTCAGCACCGCCAAGCCGGCGCGCCCCTTTACCAAGGCCGACGAGGTCCCGAGCGGCGTCGACTGGCGGCGGCAGGGCGCGGTGACGCCCGTCAAGAACCAGGGCCACTGCGGCTCGTGCTGGACGTTCGCCTCGGCCGAGACGGTCGAGTCGCGCTGGTTTCTCAAGACGGGGGAGCTGCAGGACCTCTCCGAGCAGTTCATTCTCGACTGCACGCCCAACCCGCACGCCTGCGGCGGCACGGGCGGCTGCGGCGGCGGCACGGCGGCGCTCGCATACGAGCGCCTCAAAGCGCTCGGCGGCCTGCCCTCGGAATGGGTTTATCCC